AAAAAAAAAAAAAAAAAAAAAAAAAAAAAAAAGTCAATTACCCGCCTTGTCCATTCCACTTTCTGGCGTTTTGGCAGGAAATTGAGTGGTGATTGCTTAGAGGTGATTAAAGCCTGTGCTTCAGGTAGGGCTTCGTTGGCTTACCAAACAACGGCTATGACGCTTGCTTCTAGTTTTTGGTAGGGTCGTAGTCTGATTACCCGTTTCTGATGACTCAGCTAGCAGGATGCGAAGGCCTCTTGTTTTTCGAGAGGCACCTCCGCGCCTACGGAAGGATGTCACATTTTTTTGTGGGTTGCGTCGCTACGAATGTCTCAGATAATAGGGTATATTGGGTGTCTTGGCCTTTTCCAAGGCTAGGATGACTTTACCGATCGATCTGACAAATGTCAGATTCCCTTATGGCCACCACAGAGCCTCCACTAGGCCCAATCTGCGAACGGTTACAAGGGCTTCTACTTTACCTGGCGGAGATTTAAGTGCCATTCACTGCGACGTCTGCCTCTCATTGTGCTTTTGAGATTGTGCCGAGACGGTTGCGTTATGCACAGGCGACATCGATGCTCCGAGATCTGACTAGGTCTCCCGTCGGCAGTTTTCCTTTCGCCATCTCTGGTGCTTGTGACACCCTGGTCCATTCGGGTACAAGGAGGCTTTCGTTGTGCGGCCAGGACAGACTGCTCCGACTTCGAGAGAGAGGGAGTGAGGAGTGCCGGTTTCGTCTGCTTGTGTTTTCTCTGTGTGTTTTTTTGTGTGTGTTTGCCTGTGTGCAAGTCTTCCAGCGGTGGGCGATATCTGCTGTCGACATGCATGACTTCTCGGACATGTGTGTTGTTCAAGCAACTATCGTGAGGCATGGGTTGCCGCCACACTCGATGTACGATAGTGTTAACGGGAATTCGACCATAGTTATGTTATCTAGGATTGGGATTTTATTTTTTGTGGCAATGATGTCTAATAAACACGGGTTGGGCGATCTACGTCTAATATGCATCAGCGAGCGATGGGGGGTAGGATAGTATAAAAGAGGCAAGGCAATTGGAATGGCCTCAGGTTTTTGGGAGATCTGATTTGAGGGGTTTCCCTCCTGAAGAGTCTATATACGCGGGATAGACGAAACGCGTCGAGGGTTGGCCGCGTGATGTTGTTTGCATTGTGATTTTGCTGAGAATCTTTTCTCCTGATTGGTGTGTGTGACAACTCGTTTTCTGTTGGAGTATATTCAGATATCGTCCTAATGCTTATGCTGTATATGCCGAGTAGTCTTCACTTTTCGATTCCCGTGACAACCTCCAGCGAAGTTGTACATTGGGTGGTGGCCACGTTCAATAGTTSACGTATGCTGGATATGGAGCATGTCCTCATACGCTGCACTTTTTGGTTCCAAGAGAAAGATGTATTGATGAGGGTTAAGTGTATTTCGATGATGAGTCAAATGCGATTAGGTTCTTCGTAAGGCGGGAGTAGATTCTTAAGGGTTTATAATATTGAGATAAGAATAAGGTTATGATTGTTATTCTAATAGGGTCGATACATTCGATCCGGACCTGTTTCTTTCCTTCTATTGTTTATCGTCTCCCTACGGCGCTCTTCAGTTTTGGGTATAGTCTCCTTTTCTATCGTCAGGTCGGTTATCTATCTTTGGGAACGTATTGCTGGGCGGTCTTAGCTTCGGTACAGTTCCAATGGCTGCGCAGGGTTCCAAATGCTTCAACTGTGGTGGCGAAGGCCATTTTGCACGAGAGTGCCCTTCGAACCAATCGACTGTTGCTCCTAGGGGTGGGAACGGCGTTAGTAATGCTACTACAACGGCGCACTATTGGACGCCCTGGCAGAACTATAATGAGGATGCTGAGGAGAAGGAGTTCTTACGTCAACTCATCCAAGAGAAGAGGAGGGAGTTTGAGGAGAAGAGGAAGATGCATGAGATGATTAGATTGGAGATCGAGAGGAACTCAGAGGCGGCAGAAACAAGGTTCTTGTCCAAAATTGGGCAACAGTTTCTAGAAGCTCGGGAGGAGGCGAGGAGAGATGAAGTGAGGGTCACTCGTACATCAGTACTTGTTTACAGACATACGGGTTTCAAGGAGTATGCGGATAAAGGTTTGGAAGAGATCGAGGATGAGATGTAAAACTGTATGAATTGCACGAGAAGAAACGGAAGGGTAAGGTCCGATTATAAAAAGCGATGCAGAAGCATTTTCGACAACCGAATTTCCAACGTGAAGCAACTGATGACTTTGAAACAGGGGAATCCTCTCACATGGCTGAAGAGCGATCACGTACCAAGGTATGTGCTGGCAATGGTTCCGAGGGTGTACAAGCGTTCGTGCAAGCACAACGCCGGATTCTTACCCCGAAGACCAAGGATCATTTGAAATATGTCTGCCGAACTGAAGGGATAACTTACACAACCAAAGGCCCCACTATCGAGCGGATCATTGAAGCCAGGACGAAACTTGCTTATGAAGGTTTTGTCTTCKTTYCTTCCCCTTCACCAGTGGTAAGTCAGGAAGACWAGAGGACRCCGTGCAAATGATTGTTTGATTGTTCCTGATTACGGTTGTGGGCAAATTTGATCGTTTACATGCGTCTACGTTGCTCGACTTGGTTGTCAGGTGCCCCTGCGCGTCTCAGGTCGTCGTATRATGTTTGTGCTACTTTGCTTATGGTCACGCTCTCCCTTTTGGATGAGATCCGCTGGGTTAGTAAGTTTAAGTCGCTTCTGTTGTCAATTGGCTGGGATGCCTGGAGGACTGGCCCGGTGGTGTATGTACTTATGTCGCCCTGGTGCAAAGCTCAATATATAGGATGTTCGAAGAGAGGTATTTTTATCGGATGGGGTGAGCATGTGCGTACTGTACGGACTAGGGGTACGGGTGTATGTCCACAACTTTACAAATAGTTGTCGTCTTTTGGCGCCTGGCATTATATACCTTTGTCGTTGGTTAACGGGGTATTATCAGTGGATAAAGCTAAGAAACTTTTGATTAGAAATTTCTCGTCTTCGCTTAGCTATCGGCGGGTATTGCGGCAAGCTAGACCTTTTCGTAAACCCTGCCGTACCAAGAGGGTGGGCTTGGAACTACGACCGGTTGTTTTCTCTGTTTTGAAGTTTCCAGTGCATGATAGCGACTAGACAATTAGTTTGATTAATCTGTTGAGAAGGGCTTATAGTTCTGGGTTTAAGCATTTTACGATTCATGTTGCACCCGACAATCGTTGGACGGATGCTTGGTCTGTGGTACGTCGAATTTTCGGCCTAACTACAATTTTTGTTGACAACCAATGTTTTCTTCTTAAAGATCTCAAGCAGGAGTTCCAACTGGGGGGCGAATGGCTTATTGGTTCTGTACAGCTGACCCCTACTGGTAAGAGTGTCTGCAAATTGCATTTGGCACGTCTGTTGGCACAACCCTGGACTCGGAAATTCCTTAGGTTCAAAAGTATTGATTGTTTGGTCCGATGGTTTCAGGCGGTGCGCTGTTTTTCGGCTAAAGATACCCGTAGACGCCTCCGAGGCATTTTGGCTAGTGCTCTTAAACTTCAGATAGGTATCGATGTTAGGAGAAGGATTCTCGTACGACTCTTTTATGATCATTGTGTATCGTCCTCTGTTGTGCACTCTTTGATGCTGAAAGTTCTTGAATTCTCGGTTTTTCCTGAATCTATGCGTAATCTAATCAAACGAAAGTTGAGGTTTGTTTGGCGAAAAAATATGTCGGTGTCGTAGGTGATTGGCGTACCTATGGGGAAAGCTTTGAGTTGCCCTCTTGCTTGTATTATGTGCTCCTTCGCCGAGTTTAAGTTTTTGAATAGCTTGGGTGTTAATCACGCCCTCTTCGAAGGTTTCCAGATAGTTGATGATGTTACGGTATTCATAGCAGTCACTTCCGGCTGTGATGAACAAATGGCGTGCCTTTTACTTCATCCTTTTGCCCAGTGTTACGCGTCGGTTTTGTGTCTCGTGCGAACGGATGTGTCGTAGGATATTTTGTCATTTGCAGGGGTGCACATTCATCGGGTTGGGACTTCAATGAGGACAGTCGCAATTTTTAAGAATATGCCTTTTATTTGGCATGAGGGGCATTTGATGTTTGGTTGTTTTCGGGACTATGGCTCCTATTCGGCTAAGAAGGTCAAAATCGGGGCAATTTTGAGTACCCTCCACAAAGTTTTTGCATTGACACCCGATTACTAGGGGTGCCATGAGCTGCTACTTGCAATCAGGAGAGAGTTAGTTATGCGATCCTACCTGACCCGCCTTGTCGATTCCACTTTCTGGCGTTTTGGCAGGAAAATAGGTGGTGATTGCTTAGAGGTGATTGAAGCCTGTGTTTTAGCTAGGGCTTGGTAGGCTTACCAAGGAACGACTATGATGCTTGCTTCTAGTTTTTGGTAGGGTCGTAATCTGATTACCCGTTATGATGATTCAACTAGCAGGATGCAAAGGCCACTTGTTTTTCGAGAGGCACCTCCCCGCCTACGAACGGATGTCACATTGTTTTGCGGGATGCGCCGCTACGAATGTCTCAGATAATAGGGTACGTTGGGTTTCTTGGCCTTTTCCAAGGCTGGGATGACTTTACTGATCAATCTGACAGATGCCAGATTCCCTTATGGCCACCACTCGCCTCCCCTGGGCCCAACGTGCGTACGGTTACAAAGGCTTTTACTTTACCTGGCGGAGATTTAAGTATCGTTCACTGCGACGTCTGCCTCTCATTGTGCTTTTGAGATCGTGCCGAGACGGTTGCGTTATGAGCAGGCGACGTCGATGCTCCGAGATCTGACCGGGTCTCCCGTCGGCAGTTTTCCTTCTGCCATCTCTGGTGCTTATGACACCCTGGTCCATTCGGGTACGAGGAGGCTTTCGTTGTGTGGCCAGGATGGACTGCTTCGACTTCGAGAGAGAAGGAGCGAGGAGTGTCGATTTTGTCTGCTTGTGTTTTCTCTATGTGTTTTTTTGTGTGTGTTTGCCTGTGTGCATGTCTTCCAGCGGTGGGCGATGTCTACTCTCGACATGCATGACTTCTCGGACATGTGTGTTGT